GCCGGTCCGGTACCGGGTCGCGGGTCGGGCCACGGGCCGGGCCGCCCGTGGCCATGTCTATTGTTAGATAATCAAAGGTTCAACTTTGGATTAAAAGTCAAAACAAGTGGCTTTCATGTTCTAAATAAAAGAAAAATATGACTCATTAACCATATTAGAATATGTGATTGTTCAACTGTTAGTAAAAAAAATTCCAAGCTCAATAAATACTAATTATTGCTAAGTTTTGACAATTTAACGTGGCCGGAAAAAAAAAGTCCAACATAAACTTAATGAAGCTAGGACGGATTAACTAACTTAATCAGTATTAGTAAAATTAGCTGAAAAGTTAATTTATAGTTTATAGGCGAATCTCCAGCTTATAACTGATAGCTTATGACTGATGAATGAAAATTAATTGGTATAATAAAAGTATTAGCTAATAAATTGGTTCAAATAAAAAGTTTCGACGACTTTTTTTTTTTGAAAAGCCACCTAATTAAACTTGTGAAATAATCTCCAATTTTTTAAACAAAATTTACAAAATAAATAAATAAGTTATAAGCTAGTCTATAGTGCTTATAAATACACTAGTAATGGGTCATGTTAAAAGAAACACGTGTATTAATTAGGTTGGGCATGACAAATTTGAATGACCAAATTGGGCTAGCTAAATTTGCAACACATAAAAAGGATTTTAAGGTTTAAGAATTATTTTTTCTATTATTATATTATTATTTTATTTTATTTTATTTTTTTTTTTTTTTGCGAGAGGGTGGAGCAAACTGTAGATTTATATAAATAACAGATATTTAGATTTAGACAACAACTATAATAACCAAACATCGACACTGTTGAATTTAGTTGGAGAACTCAAAAGGAAACCTAAACTACCACAACCCACCTAGGATAATACAACTCTTCAATCCCAATAGAAGAATAGTTATTTCCAATTTCATACTTGATGTAGAGCGTAATACGATTGGGAATTGATATGAGATACTCTCTCAAGAATGAACGAACAGAAAACTTTTATTCATCAATAATTTGTCTTCTTTGATTGTTGTTCACATATAAAAAAAGGGAAAGAGTCCTATTCTAGTATCTTGCCTAACATATTGCAAGATATTTATTTTAATTACTTAAATAAAAGGAAATAACATAATAAGCAAATTAATAATAAACGACTTAAACTCGAATCCTGTCGTATTTATTCAAGAAGGCAATCGCGGTCTCGTCTCCATCATCCTCCCCTGGTTGAGAAGGATTCGCCCTCTAATCCGAAACGGTCTTGTCTCCGTCTGAGTTGTCGCCCGTAAATGGGACCAGATGTTTGACGTTAAAAATGTCAGACGTGCGAATATGGGACGGAAGGCGAAGGCGATAAGCATTGGGATTGATATTCTCCACTACTTCAACCGAACCTATCTTACGAGCAGACAATTTATTATACTCGTGGGCCGAGAACCTGTCTTTCGTCAAAACCGCCCACACAAAGTCACCCACCTCGAACTCAACGTGGCGACGCCGAACATCCGCCTGGCGCTTGTAAGCCGCGGTGCAGTCCTCCAAATGAACCCGAGCAACTGCGTGTGTGGCTTGGAGGTCCGCGATGAGGTCGGCAGCTCGTCGATCAGGCGCCGCCGCAGAAGGTAGGGTCAGCAAGTCGGACGACCCGCGAGGTTGCACAACATAAACTGTCTGAAAAGGAGAAAACCTGGTGGCACGGCTGATGGCCGAGTTATGAGCAAACTTGGCTTGGCTAAGGCGCTGGTCACCAACAACGAAGGTTATCACCGACAATACAACGAAGCAAGTTACCCAACGATCTATTCACAACCTCCGTCTGCCTATCCGTTTGTGGATGATAAGCGCTGCTAAAATCCAACCGTGTATTGGCCATACGCCAGAGGCTCCGCCAGAAATAGCTCAAGAAACGAGTATCACGGTCAGAAACAATCGAAGACGGAAACCCATGGAGGCGGTACACCTCGCGAAAAAATAATTGGGCCACGTGAAGAGCATCAGTGGTCCGTTTGCAAGGGACGAAATGCACCATCTTCGAAAATTGATCCACAATCACGAAGATAGAATCGAACCCACGCTGAGTACGTGGTAAACCCAAAA